TGATCTATAATAAAAGTACTTATCTATAAATTGTTGATTTCCAACAAATTTTTACTAGCATTTCAGTAAGTATTACTGGCTCATTTTCCCCCAAGATGGGGAAACTTGGGATCAGGTAATAGATTTTAAACTCTCACTCATGATTGGAGCTCAGCTATACATACCATGATGCTCTTCTTGAACAGGATATAGTCTACCTTCCTCTTCCCATACCTCTATGCACCATAGGTACTAAAACAGGCCAAGTCATGGCTTGGTAGTAAAACCTGAGCTTTGAGTACTTGTAGTGCTCTTCAAATGATATTATGTCTCTCTTCATACTCCCCCAACCCCAACTAACCAACATTCAATTATGAATGCTTTTTTTACTCACCTTTGAATTATGCACATTCTCGCTCATCATGATAAAACTGCTTTTTGCCTTTGGTTTATTTTCACTGAGAGAGGAAGCAGGTGGGAACTATAGTTTGAACCATATAAAACTATGAATATTCAACTGTTTAAGCTAATAGTGACTATTTATTAAGTGGCCAATAGATTCTAAGACTTGGTGGATTAATTAAATCCTCACTACTTTTCATTTAAATGTTATCCCACTATGAAGGTGAAGAAATTTAGATGGGAAAGTAGGTCAGGGACCCAAGGGTTTGAGATCCACATTTCAGCCTCTCCATACCAATTATTATAATTTTATTGTTTATGCTGCCTAAAGAAAACAAATAATGGCTAGGAAGTTGGACTTTAGTGTGCTGCTACATGGGAATCTCTCCCTTAGTCTTAGGCCTCAAGTGGTCCCTCTTTACCAATTTAGCAACTCTTTTATGTGTTCCTGGTTCCCACCCTCAATCCCATTATAAGGTCCTCTGGTTGTTTTTTTTTTTTTTTTTTAATCAATATCCTTCAGCACAGACCTCTATACAGTAAATTCTCACAGCATCATCAAAGGATTCTCAGAAACTGTGACTTTAAGTGAAACAATGTGTAACAAAAACCAATTTTTTGTTTGTTTGTTTTCTGAGATGGGAGTCTCACTCTCATTGCCCAGGCTGGAGTGCAATGGTGCAATCTTGGCTCACTGCAACCTCTGCCTCCCAGGTTCAAGCAATTGTTGGATACAATGAGTTCTAAATTTCTCGTCAGTATGTTCAGTTCTTTGTCCTCCATTTTAAAGTTTAACTTTCTCGTAGCTTCAGTAAACAACCTTTTCCACCAGTTCCAATCAGGAGTTCGCATCTGTTCCCCTAGGCACCTGCTCTATCCGGATTCATCCTGGTCACCTGTTTTGACCTGAGTCACCCCTGGTCACCTGCTCTGACCAGAGTTACCTGTTCCATAACCGTTTTTCCTGCCAAACCGCTCACCCCACCACCCTGACCCATACCTCTGCTCTCTTTAAAAATCAGCAATTGGAATTAGTTAGACGGTGCAGTCCAACCCTACCCAATAGGGGAACGACACAGCGGTAGGGGTTACCTGTGTCAGGGATAAGAACCCCTTCCCCTCCCCTGTTCAGGTGTGCATTTGCCATTGCTCCACCCATGAGATGCACTCTTCTATGGAAGTAAATTGCCTTGCTGAGAAAATTTATATTCAAGTGCTATTTCTTTTGTGGCACCGAAAATTTACATGTAAAATGATTTTACTGCCTCAGTCTCCCGAGTGGCGAGGATTACAGGCACCCAGCACTACGCCTGGCTAATTTTTGTGTTTTTAGTAGAGACACGGTTTTACCACGATGGCCAGGCTGGTCTTGAACTCCTGTCCCCATGTGATCTGCCCACTTTGGCCTCCCAAAGTGCTGAAATTACAGATGTCAACCACCATGCCTGGCAACAAAACCAATTTTACCACAGGCTAATTGATATAAACAAGAGCTAACTTCCTATGGCATATTTCTAGTCACAAGAACATCACCAAACTTCTAAATGAAGAATCAAAACACTTCTAACATTAAATATTGAAATAAATGTAAACTCTACATACATTCAGGAAAGATTAATAAAAACAAAATAATCAACTTTTGGTGAATTAGTGAGTGACGATGGTTGTAGTGGTAGTGGGTTAAATCAAGGAATAAATGTTTGCAAAGTGAAAATTGTAAAGAGCACCTCCTACCACCACATAGTTCAAAAACAACAACAATGTTGGACTGATTATTTTCATACTGCAATTATTGTTATGCACTTGCATGCAGCACACTTTATGAATTTTTATTTTACAATAATTTGCATTCATTCATTCATTTTCCAACCCACTTATTCTCAGTTCAGGGTCACCGGTGGCTGGAGCCTATCCTACTAGCTCAGGTTGCAAGGCAGGAACCAACCTTGGACAGGACGCCATTCCAGCTGCAGGATGTACTCACACATACCCAAACTCACTCCTACTGGCAGTTTCAGACACACCAATTCACCTAATGAGCACACCTTGGGAATGTGAGAGGAAACCCACGCAGACATAAAAACAACATGGAAACTACCAGAGAAAACCCACACAGACATGGAAACAACAAGCAAACTCCACACAGTGGCCCTGGTCAGAAACTGATTTTTTTTCACATCAACATTATAAGAAAACAACATGAAAAAATATGTTATTTGAGGAACTGGTGTATCCTAGAAAAGTAAAGCTCTTCTAAGGATAGCTTAAGTAATTCAGTATGAATATTATATTGGTTTAGTTGATGATTTAAATGATAATTTTCAAAGTTTCCATATAAGTTTAAAATATTTATCTTTCCAATAATATCATTCCTACAAAGAAGCTCTCTTTCAAATAGTTTCAATAACAACTTATTTTCTCCACTCCCACTCCCTGCTCTCATAGTTTATTTAATTCAGAGCCATCAGAGTAATACTGTTTAAATGTTTGTCAGAGCCCATTACTTTTCCATTTAAACCTTCCAGTGGCTTCTAATCTCAATCAGTATAAAATTCAAAATCCTAACTGTGGACTATAAAGCTCACATGACATGGCCTCTTGCTACCTCTCATTGAAACTTTTGCTACTCCCCTTGGTCAAATGAATTCCAGCCACAATGGCTTTGCCTCCTTGCTAGTATCAGAATATGGCATATATGTGCTCACCTTAGGATCCTCACACTTAACTCTTCTGTCCTGGCTTACTTTCACTTCATTCAAATCTCTGTTCAGATATTAGAGAAACTATTCCTGATCTTTACAGTAGTACAGCCTCCACTACTGTCTAGCTTCTTATATTGCCTTATTTTTCTTCACAGTATTTACCAATTAACCACTAGGAGACAAATCTCCATGCATCTTTCATTTCTCCATATTTTGCAAGCCGGGAGCTGACTGTCCCCCACCCCATCTGCCACTATTTTTTGCTGTACTATCTTTTCAAAGATCTTTGTATAGCAAATAGTCTTGGTAGATACAGAAAATAGCTTTCCCTGGAGCAAAGGACAGGTATGCTTACCATCCATTATAAAAGATTCAGCTTCCCTAAGCTCAGGGTTCCTCCTCTACAATGCACTCTGTTATGTGCAGGTCTCATCTAGTTTTCTTCCCATTACCCTAGGGGAACTGGGACACAGGGAACGAACACAAGAAAACGTTGATCCTATGGCTACTGCTATTGCTGTGAGTAGAAGTCTTACATCTTCAGTTGTCGTCCATAAAACTGGCAGGCTATAAGTAGGGTAGATATCCTAGGCCCTTCACAGTTCTTGACATTTACATTACATATTGAATTTCTATTTTTTTCTCCTAACATTCCACTGATTGCTCTATCCTCATTTTCCTATAGTTTTCAAAGCACTTATACAAATAGTATCATTTGACCTTCAAAAATCCCTGTGAAGCATTTTCTCTTTCCATTTAATGGGGAAGACACTGATCCAGAAAGGTTAAAGGATAAACCCAAGATTAGCAATAACAGATCAGTCACAGAATAACAGCAATTAGAATTCAGGTCTAATTCCTCATTTGATATTCATCTGTGACTTCTTAAAAGACAAATAACTAACATGCTGTACATTTTGTGAGATAGAAGGATAATCCCCCACTGATATTAAATAGCAAATTCCTTATGTGACATAACATAAAAACACAGAAAATGTCAATGAATAATAATACTGAGTACCTAAATAAGCACCTGTTAAGACATCGCAATGTATGTCTTTTGGGGTCTTTTTATTATACATTATGGGACATGAATGATCATGTGACAAAACTAGATTCTGCTCTTACAATAACAACCATTTCCTTTATGTCTAAAGAAAGGCATATTAAGAAAATATCCAAAAATGTTTTCTTTAACCAGGATTTTCCATCTTTGCAAGAATTAAGAGTGCCTCAACATAAACTTCATTAATCTGAAAGGTTCCAGATAATATTAATGCTGCTTATACAACTCTCAGGATAGGTAATAAAGAAGCATTTATTACTAGCTTTTTCTTTAGAATGTGAGCAAAAGACTCAAAGAGAAGTCTGTATACAACTTGGTCAGTCATTTATAATTCACACCTTACCACTTCCAGGAAGACTGAGGGGAAAAAAGTCTGAGAGTATAAGAATAGATTTCATATACAAGAGAAGTGTCAAGTAATATAAAATATCTGATTTTAAAAGCCCTATATCCTCCAGTAGAGTTAATCTGCAAAATCAGGAATAGATCCTGGTCTATGGTTCGGAGTTCTAACATGCTTATAAATCTGCTAATATGTTTATGAATAGATTTATAAGCATACCAGATATTATAAATCTACCACATAGACTTATAAGCATAGATTATTATAACATAGGATATAAACACCTTCAAGGCTCATAAGTTATGAAATTTCTGATTATTAAATTGCACAAATATAGCTAAAATGATAGGTAAGTAGTTAAAATTTTACCCTTAAGAAAACTGAAGAAAAATTGAAAAAGAAAGAACCAAAAAATTATAAAGGTAAACAGAATAAAACATAATGAGTTACTACAGTAAAAAAATGTTTTATAAGACAATTTTAACTCAGTTATCATCAGTTCACTTACTGTGTAAGTTATAGCTGCCAACATTCCGATCAAGGTGAGAGAACTAATAGAAAATGACAATGCAGCTAAACCATCTGCAAAGAAAGAAAAACTGTTAAAAATGTACATATATACTACTCAAATGTTTATATTTAGCAAATCAATGTAAAATGCTGAGCTGCTTATACATTTTGAAGAAATAAAAACCCATATGTACTACCATATTCTTGAAGTGCTAACTTAGAGAAAAGAGTTTTTAAAGGGCTCTTTAAAAATTGATTTGTAAAAGATCTTTCAGACTAGCTGAGATTTTCTTTCCCTCACCTCTTAAATTAACAGGAAAATTACTGGTTAATTATTGGGCCCAAAAAGAGATCAGTAAATTATCAGATGCTCAAAAAGTGAATTAAAAAGATCACGTGGACTTTCTCAATGGCACACCCTAAAAGATAACATTACATAGGAAAGCTATCGACCTTGACTCTTTCTCCCTTCTCAACACAGTCTTGATACTTCCAGTTTCAAGACTTTGTTCTTGATTTTCAAATCAGTTTTTAATGTACAGTCAAAAACTAAAATCTTAATTAAAGAGTTTATTTCACTTTTTAACTTGAAAGGACAAGCTTGCCCACTTGGCAGAAAAATAAAAGCAAACATAACTAGAAAACAGATTCAAAAATAACATACACACACACACACACACACATACACACACACACACACGCACACTACTATGCTAACAAGTTGGATTTAGGAAATTATCTAAAGGAAGGTCAAAGAGTGAGGGGCAAGAATGATACTTTCACATAAATATATCAAATTATGTAATAAAATACTGTGCAACCTTGAACATTCTTAGGTAGGAACAATACTTTTTCCAATTTTAATACAGGTCCTGTCAGGCCTGTATTGATCAAGTTTAAATGCAGGTCCTGTAGAACCAAATCAAGGTTTTGATTAATTTAATGTGTTGACATTAATCTTTTATGAGTACTAATTGTAATGATTTATCATTTTAAAACTCATGTCTCAGTTTTGTATAACACATAAAGAGAGAATATTACTACGTTTTTCTAAAAAAAACAATACTTACGACTACTTCCAAGTTCTTCAAACAGGAACTTCACTTTTTCCCACTCTGTGGAATTTTTGTTATTAGGAACATTCAATGGAACAAAGGCACTACAAAGAAAATAATTGTTTTAATTGCTTTAAAAATAAAAAGTTAAATGGTTTGAAACTTGAATTATTTTTCTCTAAAACAATAAAAAAATCAAACCTGTACTATGCACAGAGGGGAGTGAAGAGTTTATCTATGCATTTATTTCACTGCAAATTTGTTTTAATAGTTATATTAATGCATTAAGTAAAATTAGTTTCCTTTGTAATCCCATATGTCTTTTGCACTGAAAATACTGATTTGTCAGTTATACTTTAATAAAGCTGAGAAATAAAACAAAAAATAAATATAGAATATTTCGAGAATGGACCGTAGGTTTAAGATGATCAAAACAAACCACAAAAAAGGTTAAGGATATCTGTATTAAAATCAGTAGAGCAGAATATAAATATACTCAATTATTTTAATATATTTATATAGATAGGAAGAAACAAAAGAGATACATTAGAATAAACAGTGAACGTCTCATTGTGGAATCGGAAGTGATTATTACTGTCTTATTAGTATTTTCCTATTAATATGTCTTTCAAGATTCTATCCAACAGACAAAATGAAAGTAGTTTCTATTTATTTTTCAGCCCACAGGTGAAGAACTGTAGAAATATCAGAGACAGACAGCATCCTAGGAGCTTAGACTGGGAAAAGATAGAATAAATAAATGTTCGCTTTATTATCTAGCCCATATCAATAAACAAGAAGATAGCCAAGAGATTAAGGTAAAGAGCTGGGTATCCCTTAGGTAGTATAAGCGGAGGAACAAACAGAAGTAGGAAGTAACTCTAATATCACATCCTTCCCAACTTAATTTTAAGCATAAACAAAGTGGTAAGATTTATCCTCTGTTGTAAAGAAGATAATTTTCCAAGAAAATTAACCCTTCCTCTTGATGATACCTGTTCAGTTCCTCAGCAGAATTATCTAGCAGTTCAAATATTCAAAAAACAGTAACACCAGAGGAAACCTTACATAATCAAAAAAACTAAAAAGACTGTGACCCATACCTGAATGACTTCACAAAAATACTTTGAAAGCAATTATCAGAGAGTTAACATGTGAGCACTTAATATTTTAGGTATAAACGAAAGCACAAATCCAAAGCAGATTCCTAAATTACCACCAGGATTTTATAATCTAAAAAACAGACCTAAAATATTTTCACTTAAAGTAAGAAAACATCCATAAGTAGAACTCAAAATATGCCAAAGGAACTAATTAATCAACACAGACCCTGGCCTTATTACTGTAGGACCTTGATGAGCCAGGCTTTTCTCTTTCAATGGAGCTGAGGTAGGGTAAGAAGACTCAAAAGGCAAAGCAGCACCTGACTGGTATAAAAGCATGTCAACCTTTTAACCACAAGAAGGAACAAACCACTGTTCATCAGCCAAATATCAGCCCCATAGACAAAGAGCTATAAAGAAAAAGGAATACCTCCCAACAGGTGAAAAGGCAATTGAAGCCAAATGAAGTTATAATATAGATATAGCAGTTCCAAGGAAAGAGAAAGCAGTTAAGATTATCAGGTATTTAGTATACTAAATGAAATGGTGATGACACTAAAGTAACCAAGAGTTAGAATACAATGGAATTTGTGTGGTAAAAGGGTGCATATACTTTTAAAATCTCAGCCCTTCTAAAAAGAAACTCAATACAGGGCACCTCAGCTTCCAAAAACACAAAGTACTAGATTAACTCATTTCTGCCTTGTGTTCCATTATTGAAATACTAAGTTTGTGGGAATTATTTAATATTTTACTGATCAAGATCATCGCCAAGGTCTGATTTTTCACCCACAAAAAAATCTGCAAACTTTGGCATAAATGGGTTAAAATATAAACTAGAGCCTAGTATGATTAGACTTTTCCCTCATGCCCTTGAAAATAAAAAAACTAAAAAACTGCTTAGCAAAAATATTTTCTACCCAATCTGAGTCACTGAATTAGCTTAACACATTATCTCTTCAGAAAGAGACAAAGGAAAAGCTAATGAATTGCAGTAGATATGAAATGGAATTGATGAATTCAGCAGAGCTGAAAATAAGATGTTCACTTCCTATACTCCACCACCAAGTCAATTCATATTTATCTTCCAAACAGTTTATGTTTCTACCTCTCTATTCTCTTTGTAACCACTGTAGTTTCAATAATCACCTGAATTTACCTGAACTTATATAATGGCTACTTAACTGATTTTCCTATCTGCTATTTACATACCACTTCTCCAACCCAACATCCAAAATCCACTTTCAATACATCCTTCACAGTGCTGTAAGTAACTCTTAAAGCAAAGTCATATATATTTATTTTCATGCATTCATATACACAAATATACACAAAATCTTCACTGTCTTTTAATTACTCGGTAGGACAAAATTAAAAATTTCTTAAACATAGCATGTAAGATCCAGAGTCTACTTACCTGGCCAATGTCATATCCTGTCACTCGACCACAGGAACACTTGAAACCTCCCACTACACTTTTTTTTTGAGGGGAAGGGAAGTCTAAATTCACATCATACATTTTATGTCATTATTCACACACTGAATGTTAACCTCAGCTTCCAAGTTAATATATTTTATAGACTGAATTATGTTCCCTAAAAATTCGTATGTTGCTGGCTCTCTGCTCCCCCATTCTACAGACAGTCTCATCTCAGCTGCACCAGCCACATCACTGAGACACCATGGTGAAAGTGAAGGCCAGAGTAAATGGATTTGGCCACAGTGGGTGCCTGGTGACCAGTGCTGCTTTTAACTCTGGCAAAGCGAATACTGCTGCCATCAGTGGCCCTTCAGTGACCTTAACTACATGGTCTACATGTTCCAGCATGATTCCACCCATGGCAAGTTCTAGGGTACTGTCAAGGCTAAGAATTGGAAGCTTGTCATCAATGGAAATCCCATCATCCTCTTACAGGTGCAAGATTTTGCCAAAATTAAATGGGTGATTTTTGCACTGATTATGTTGTGGGCTCTACCAGCATCTTCACTACCATGAAGAAGGCTGAGGTTCACTTAGAACAGGGAGAAAAGAGGATCCTCATCTCTGCCCCTTCTGCTGATACCCCCATGTGATGGCATGAACCATGAGAAGTACAAAAATGGCATCGAGATGGTCAGCAATGCCTCTTGCACCATTAAGTGTTTAGCCTCCACTGGCCAAGGTCATCCATGACAACTTTGGCATCATGGTGGGACTCATGACCACAGTTCATGCCATCACTGGCACTCAGAAGATTACGAATGGCCCCTCTGGGAAACTGTGGTGTGACAGCTGTGGGGCTCTCCAGATCATCATCCCTGCCTCTACTGGAGCTGCCAAGGCTGTGGGCAAGGTCATCCCTGAACTATAGGAAGCTTACTGGCATAACTTTCCATGTCCCCTCTGCCAGTGTGTTGATCATAGACCTGACTTGCCATCTGGAGAAACCTGTCAAATATGATGACATAAAGAAGATGGTGAAGCAGGCATTGGAGGGTCCCCTCAAGGGCATCCTGGACTACACTGAGCAACAGGTTGTCTCCTCCAACTTTACTAGTGATGCTCATTCTTTTACCTTTGATGCTGGGGCTGGCATTGCCTTCAACAACCACTTTTTCAAGCTCATTTTCTGGAATGACAATGAATTTGGCTACAGCAACAGGGTGGTGGAACTCATGTTACACCTGGCCTCCAAGGAGTAAGAGCCCCTGGATCACCAGCCCCAGCAAGAGCACAACAGGGAGAGAGAGGTCCTCACCTGCCAGGGAGTTCCTGCCACACTCAGTCCCCCACCACAGTGAGAATCTCCCCTGGACACAGTTTCCGTGCCAGATTCCCTGAAGAAGAAAAGACTTAGGGAGTTCCACTATGCTATGTACCACCAATAAAGTCCCTGTTCTCAACTCTCCTAAAAAAAAAAAAAAATCCAAGGCTGGGCACGGTGGCTCACGCCTATAATCGCAGCACTTTGGAGGCTGACTTGGGTGGATCACCTGAGGTCAAGAGTTCAAGACCAGCCTGACCAACAAAGAGAAACACTGTCTCTATTAAAAATACAAAAATTAGAGGGGCATGGTGGCATATGCCTGTAATCCCAGCTACTCAAGCGGCCAAGGCAGAAGAATTGTTTTAAACCAGGAGGTGGAGATTGTGACGAGCCTAGATCGCACCATTGCATTCCAGTCTGGGCAACAAGAGCAAAACTTTGTTTCAAAAAAAAAAAAAAGAAAAGAAAAGAAACTAGCAGGGCATGGTGACAGGTGCCTGTAATCCTAGCTACTCGGGAGGCTGTGGCAGGAGAATCATTTGAACTCGGTAGGTGGAGGTTGCAGTAAGTCAAGATAGCATCATTGCACTCCAGCCTGGGCAACAATGCAAGACTCTATCTCCAAAAAAAAAAAAAAAAAAAAATCCGTATGTTGAAGCTCTAACCCCCAATGTAATGGTATTTGGATATAGGTCCTTTAGCAAGGGAATTAAGGTTAAATGAAGTCATAATCATCCCATGGCATTGGTGTCCTCACAAGAAATGGAAGAGACGCGAGAGTGCTCCTTCTCTCTCTCTCCCCCGCCCACCCCACCCTTCCTTCCCCCTCCCCTTCTCCCACTGCAAGCACAAAGGAAAGGTCATAGGAAGACAGAGCAAGAAGGTGGCCTTCTATAAGCCAGGAAGAAAACTCTCAACAGAAACCAAATCTGCCAGCATCTTTAACATAGACTTCTAGCCTCCAGAACCATGATAAAATAAATGACTGTTATTTAAGCCATCCAGTCTATGACACTTTGTTATGGCAGCCAAAGCAGACTAATACATGTTATTCATCTTTTTTATTTGTCAAGTCAGCTAACCGATTCCCATTCCTTCAAATCTCAACTGAAATATTACTTCCTTTTAGATGTCCTGATTCTGCAAGGCAGAGTAAGAATCTGCTCCTCCACCATCAACATCTGGTATGTATCTCCTACCAGAGCACTTAAATACTGTAATTCAAGGTCTGTATCTGCATGCCTCCACAATGTAAACCTAAAGGACAGAGACCATGATCCTCCACCATCACCCACAAGATCTAGCATAGTATCTAAAACATAAGTGTTCCAAAAACATATGAGCTACATGAATTAGTTAAATCTAGATCACAGCTTTGCCATAAAATTATGTAGTTCTATTAGCAAAAGCACATCACTTAAAAGAAACTCTGAATATGCCACCTTCAAAAATATTTCAAGACCTTTTGTCAATCACTTAACCTGAATGCACACCTCATTCAAATATTTACATATGGTAATGAGAAGAACACTGTCCTGGATGACTGAAACACTAATAGTCTTTAATTCACTATTCTTTTATTCTGGCTGTTGAAAGATTTGTAGTTTTATTGATGATTCTCACTCATGATATAAATTAGGAGTTGGCAAACTACCGGCTGCCTGTGTTTAGAAATGAAGTTTTCCTAGAACACAGTTGTGTTCTTTGTTTATTTATTGTCTACGATTACTTCTGAGCTATAAGAGAGCCACAGAGACCATATAGGCTGTAAATCTAAAATACTTACTATCTATGCTTTAAGAAAAGTTTGCCTATTCCTGCTCTAGATAATTCATGCTTACAGACAAGGGACCTCATTGTTAACAAGGGAAATTAACATAAGTAGGTTTGGCTTTCTAAAAAAGCCAAAAGAAAAACACTTTAAAAATATACTTGGTAGCTAAAAAAATAGAAAACGCACTAAAAAATATGTTTACAAAAAGTACTCCTTTTCATGACACATCAAGGCAGGTAAAAAGAACTGGAAGTATGACTTGATTATAAAACATGCACATTCTAAGAACTCCCAGAACTACAAAAAGTTACTCAACAATTTTATTCCAATTACAAGTTACATGTAGTAAATATTTTTTTTTATTTATGGAAAGTTATTTATTAGAAACTGTGAAACTAAATTATAAAAGAAACTTTAAAAAACTTATTAACACCTAATATATTTCCTAACATAAAATATGAGAGACTAATAACCTATTTATAACACAGATAAATGTCGTCCAGTAACAAGCATAAATGTTAGATGTTCTAACAAATACGTTAAAATGTTATTGATATTACTTTAAAAAACAAGAAAAATTAAGAAAAGAAATCTGTTGACAAAGATTTGAAGACTGATAGGGTCAAATCTGAAAGACGCACAGACAAGGATTTTTATCCAAGCGCTATTTATAAAAATGGGGAAACATCATAAATGTCTAGGCAGTCATCACTAGAAGATCAGTTAAATATATTTTTGCATCCTTAGAAGGAAATGCAATGTAGTCAAAATTTATGGATCTACACTTACTATCCTGAAGAGACGCCCACAATATGTTAACAAGTAGATTACCAAGGATTATATAAAATATAATCACATTTGTATAAAATAAAAACATGTAGGGTGCATGCAAGAAGTGAGGTGTACTCTGCATGCATTCAAGCACATAAAAATGTCTAGATGAAACAACACAGACAAAACTGTTAAACTGTGGCTACTGTTCCTTGGAGATACAGAAAGTGAACTGTTCTTTTTTTACATTTTTTTCCCTAAATTTTTCTGAATGATCCTTTTATTATTATTTTTCATATACTTGTATTTCCATGTCATGGTAAAAAAAAAAAAAAAAAAATCAAGACTTACCCAACTAAAAGAAGCAGTGCACAAATCACAGCAAATCCCAAAGTATACTTGAGTGCCGTTTTAATTTGCTAGACACCAAGAAGAAAAAAAGTATACCATTTAGCAAGCCTTTTGAAATATAAAATATTCTTGCAATAGTTTAACAGTTCCTTCACATCAGATACACACTTGTAGTCAACAGTGTAAAGTTTCACTTGTTGAAAAACAACCTTAAAATTTAAAGAAAACGGGTATACTACATCTTAAGTATCTTGAAAAAATATGAGATTTTGAAAATCTTTTCAATAGTTAGGGCCTTGTAAAAACCAATCCACCTAAAGCATAGTTAATTTTCCAGCAGGCATCTTCAGTAAAATTATCAGAATATGTAATAAAAGATTCCCCCAAACAGCAATCAGAATCTACAACACCCCAACCCAATTCATCAAAAGTTTATAACAATAAACACAATATACACATATGTTTGTGTTTCAGTATATATATATGAGTGTATATATATATAAAGTATATTTGTATATATGCATACTCACACATACATATATATATAAGTATATATGCACACATAAATATATGTGCATATATACTTACATACATTAACATATATTTTACACATATATAGTGTTTATCATGCCAGGCACTGATCTAAGAACTTCACATACGTTAACTCATTTCATGCTCATAACAATTCTAAGATAGGTTGTTCTCATGTCTACTTTAGACTTAAGGAAGCTGAAGTCCAGAGAAGTTAATAATCTGTCCTAAGGCACATAGGTCACAAGTGATTAAATAAGTACTTAAAATCAGGAACTTGGGAATTTAAAACCTATGCTTTGCTTGGTGCCCATAATGTACTCACTCCAAAGGCTAAGAAAAACAAAAAAGGCAAAGTTGGACATTCTGAATGCGAATAAAAAAGTTAATAGTAATCTCATTTAAATCAGTCAGAAATAACATTCATCCTCTCAGACTAATGACGCCTCTAAAAATCATCTTTTAAAATTTGAATAGATGTTTCACATAGAACGTTCTTGTTCACAAAGGGCGTAAGATATTCTTTAGGAAAAGAACTAAAGAAAAGGTAGAGAAGATGCACTTTGGAAGAAGTGAAAGAGACCACATAAATCTCATGGAGATTTTATTAAATGTGTAAATAGCTACCTTACTTTATACACCTTGGTTTTTCCAACTATAGAGTATCTGCAAATAACAATTTTGACTCTCTTTATAAATATTTAAATGTCTAACTTTTTTTCCTCTAATACTGCATTGATTATTACTCTTAAGAGTCATTTAAAATATTGTTAATTTACTTGCTCCTAATCTTAATGCAAAGGCTCTTGAGGTTTTAAGTATGATTAAGCATGATGCTGGCTTTTGATTGAATACATTTACTTCTGTATTTAAACACAAATGAAAACAAGGTATAAAACAAAATCCTGTAACTCAAAAAGATAAGACATTAGTCTTATTTTTCAACTGTTCCCCTAAAATAAAACGTGTTCAACTTTGACAAATACCTTTTAATATACATTTTTTTCTTTGACCTATTATTTACTATATTTCAATAGATTTCCTGATTTTCAGTCATCCATGCAATTGAGAGGCCCAACTTGGTTATATAATATTAATATATTTGTAAGATGCTCCTGAATTATATTTACTATTATTTTAGTTAAGATGTTTATACCAATACTTAAGTGATATTACTCTGCAGTTTTGAACATGTATGTTTGCTGTGTTTGTCAGGTTTTTAAAAAGTCACTCTTATCCTGGATTAGTAACAACAACCTACAAATGTTCTTTCTTTATGCCTCTGAACAGGGGCCAGCAAACTACATTCTGTGTACCACATCTGATTCATCTTCTGTTTAAATGGATCATAAAATGTTCATTGTCTCTGGATACTTTTAACATTATAATGGTAAACTTGAGTAGCTGAAACAGAGACCATATAGCCCACAAATCCTAAATTATTTACTACCTGGTCTTCTACAGAAAAAATTCTGTATGCCTGATCTAGAATTGCTTTGTCTAAAACAATAGTCACAAGCCACATGTGGCTAGAAAGCACCTGAAATGTGGCTAGCTTGAATAAATGTAAAATACAACCCAAATTTCAAAGACTTAGTGTGAAGAAAAGAAATTTAATATTTGATTAATAGTATGTTTGGCTATATTTGAAATGATAATATTTGGAATATATTATGTAAAATTCAATGTATAATTAAAATTAATTTCAACTGTTTCTTTTCATTTTAATGTAGCTAACATTATATTTCTATTAAACAACGCTGCTCTGGAAAAAAATTCAGTCATGTCATTCTCTGAAAAAGCAGAAAATAATATTTTTTTTTCTAAACTGAGACCTCTAAAATAAAGATACTTACAGTACATTTGCTAGTATCATCATCATCCTTTTCTTCATAATAGAAGTAGACAAAAGGAATCCAGAAGAACACACAGAACAATATTACAGAATACAAAGCTGTGGAAATAAATAATAAGCTGAGTTTTACTAATTACATATATACTTAATCACAGTTATCTCTCTGTGTGCGTGTGTATGTGTGTGTGTGTGTACATATGTATATATATTCACTTACCAAGTTCACGCCCCTATCTGATTCCTTGTTCTCATAATTCTCTATACACAGTATATGATGCCCAAATAGTCTTCTCTGTCCTATGTCCCAAGAAATCAACAGTACTCCAAAACCATAATTCAAGTTAACTTTGGGGAAACTTCTAACAATAGTAACAACTGGGTCAAGAACAATTGTGGCAGCTAACATATGAGCTCTTACTATGTATTAACTACAATACTAAGAACTTCCTATCAACCATCTCATTTAAATGAACTTTAACTTTTGCCTTCATTCCAATTTGAATTTGAGTACACTTACACAACATTTGCTATTCTGGCAAGTTAAAGAAACAGCTATAAATGATACTGTCTTTTTGATATAAATAATTTTCTCACCTTAAGTTTTAAAAATATGCAATATTATATAACCGATCTTACCCAAATCAAAATAGAGAAAAGGTAAAAAGGATAGTAAAACAGTAAAATTAGATTCTCTATTTTCCCACCAATGGACACTGGGGTTGCTTCCACATTTTAGAATTTGTGAATAATGCAGCTATGAACACAGGGACAAATAACTATTCATGACCCTGTTTTCAATTCTTAGATTAGATTCAAAATTAGATTCAACATCAACTGATATGAACTACTATTTATCTGCTTTAAAAAAACATTAATTTGAAATACTTTTAACCAGTAGTCAGTCAAAATGTTTATTTAAATTTAACATAGAGCTTAAGTTAAGCCAAAGGTATAGTACCTTTAACTATAAAAACAGAATAAACATTTTGAGACATAAGCCTAAGAAACCTGTTTTTAAAATCTGCATATTCACATTCATTTGCTTTTACATACATTCATGAAAAATAGTAGTACAAGTATAATTGCATAAAGCAATTACAGAATTATAATCATTGTATTCCTTTATTAAAAAAAGCAACTGTTACCACCCCCAGACCCATCAGGATGGCTACTAACAAAAAACAGTAATAGGCCGGGCGTGGTGGCTCAAGCCTGTAATCCCAGCACTTTGGGAGGCTGAGGCGGGTGGATCACGAGGTCAAGAGATCGAGACCATCCTGGTCAACATGGTGAAACCCCATCTCTACTAAAAATACAAAAAATTAGCTGGGCATGGTGGCACGTGCCTGTAATCCCAGCTACTCAGGAGGCTGAGGCAGGAGAATTGCCTGAACCCAGGAGGCGGAGGTTGCGGTGAGCCGAGATCGCGCCATTGCACTCCAGCCTGGGTAACATGAGTGAAACTCCGTCTCAAAAAAAAACAGTAATAATGACAAGTGTTGGCAAGGATGTGGAGAAACTGGAACCCTGTGTGCTGCTAATAAGAATGTAAAATGGTATAGCAGCTATGGAAAATGGTATGATGTTTCCTAAAATAATTAAAAATGGCATTACATATAATCCAGTAATTCCACTTCTGGGTATACGCACAAAAGAGTTGAAAACAGGGTCTCCAAGAGTTATTTGTACACCTATGTTCACAACTGCATTGTTCATAATAACTAAAACATGAAAGCCACCCAAATGCCCACTGATGGATGGACAGAGAAGCAAAATGTGGTATACACAAAACAGAATATTATTGATTCTTAAAAAGGAAGGAAATGATATGTGCTACAACACATGTGAACTTAGCATAATTAGAAGGACACCATGCTAAGTGAAATAAGCCAATTACAAAAAGACAAATACTGTATGACTCCACTTATATGAGGTACTCAGAGTAGTCAAAATCATAAAGTCAGAAAGTAGGACAGTGGTCGTCAGGAGAGGGGAAGGGCAGAAGACAGAGTTACTGTTTAACAGGTATAGTTTCAATTTTACAAGATGGAAAGTGTTAAGAAAACGGGTGGCAGCAATGGCTGTATATTTTGAATATATGTAATACCACTGAATAGTACACTTAAAATGGTTAAGATGTTAAAAAAAAATGGAAAAAATGCATGTTAGTAATATATAATAAAAATCTAAATTACTAATTAATTGTCTTGGAAGAAATGATTTTAGAGTTAAAGAGTTTTCTTGACATTTGCTAGTACTATCTCATTTATCTGGAGGATATTTATGATATAACCCTACTACATGCAATACAGGTCAAAGAAACTCAAATCAAACAGGACCCTAAATAATCGACAGAGGGGCAGAGTTAATTTATATGAAGCAATCACAAAATTACTGTCAACATAATGAATTTGGCACTACAGACATGCAGGTTTTTAATATTATGAGCAACTATTGGTGACAAATCTTTTAGGGCAATGAATATTGGTGTATGTACTACAAAATAAAGAGTAGTAGTAAGTTTTAACATTTCTACTGCAAAACTAAGAACCAGCAGAAATAAACATTTATTTACGAGGAACTTAAACAAATTTACAAGATATAAACAAACAACCTCATCAAAAAGTGGGCGAAAGATATGAACAGACACTTCTCCAAAGAAGATGTTTATGTGGCTAACAAACATATGAAAAAAAGCTCATTATCAGTGGTCATTAAAGAAATGCAAATCAAAACCACAATGAGATACCATCTCATGCCAGTTAGAATGATGATTATTAAAAAGTCAGGAAACAACAGATGCTGGCGAGACTGTGAACAAACAGGAACACTTTTCCACTGTTCTTATGAGTGTAAATTACACATCAACCATTGTGAAGACAGTGTGGTGATTCCTCAGGGATATAGAACCAGAAATGCCATTTGACCCAGTAATCCCATTATTGGGTATATACCCAAAGGATCAGAAATAATTCTACTATAAAGATCATGCACGCATATGTTTACTGCAGCACTATTTACAATAGCAAAGACTTGGAACCAACCCAAATGCTCATCAATGACAGACTGGAAAAAGAAAATGTGGCACATATATACCATGGAATACTATCCAGCCATTAAAAAGAGTAAGTTCATGTCCTTTGCAGGGACATGGATGAAGCTGGAAGCCATCATTCTCAGTAAACTAACACAGCAACAGAAAACCAAACATCAAATGTTCTCACTCATAAGTAGAAGTTGAACAATGAGAACACATAGACACAGGGAGGAGAACATCACACAGGGGGGCTTGTTGGGGGCGGGGGGCAAGAGGATGGAGAGCATTAGGACAAATACCTAATGCATGCAGGGTTTAAAACCTAGATGATAAGTTGATAGATGCAGCAAACCACCATGGTACATGTCTACCTATGCAACAAACCTGCACGTTCTCCACATGTATCCCAAAACTTAAAGTGAAAACAAAAACAAAAAAAACAAAAACCGTAACAAGTATTCCAAAGCTTTAAAAACTTAAATACAAAATGCCATTTGTAAATCACCCTAAATACCATGCCAATATTACAATTAAAATAATCAAGTAATTTGTGTAAAATAAAAAAAAAAAAAACTGAATTAGCACAATAGATTTGAGTAGGCTTGCAGCCTCACACCAAAATCTTTGATAAACTGATAGGTGGATTAAGGTTTAGCTTCAGCCTGAGTATGCCACTTGTGTCTGTTACTAGGTGGGCTTGGCCTTTAGATAGCAAAACAGCCTGATGACTATTTGTATACGCATTTCTTGTTCTCCTAATCTTGTGTGATGAACAATCTTTTGAAAATCTAAGTTACCATTATATTTAATTAGTGTAGCAAAGTATAAGACAAATTCCTGTAACTCAATAAAAAGACAATCCTTTTTTAAAAAAAAGGGCAAAGACTTTGATACTTCACATTAGCAAATATATACAATGGCCAGGTGCAGTGGCTCACACCTGTAATCTCAGCGCTTTGGGAGGCCGAGGCTGGCATATCACCTGAGTTCAGGAGCCTGAGGCCAACATGGCCAACATGGCGAGACCCCATCTCTACCAAAAATACAAAAAAAAAAAAAAAAAAAAATAGCCAGGCATGGTAGCGGGCACCTGTAATCTCAGCTACTCAGGAGGCTATGGCAGGAGAATCGCTTGAACCCGGGAGGCAGAGGTTGCAGTGAGCCGAGACTGTGCCACTGCACTCCAGCCTGGGTGACAGAGTGAGACTCCATCTTAATAAAAAAAGAAAATATACACAATGGCCAATAAGCACATTTTAAAAGACGCTCATCACCATAAGTCATCAGGAAAACGCAAGGTAAATCTAAATGACTAAAATTAAACTGGCAATACCAAGTATTGACAAGAATGCAGAACAACTAATGTTATCATACTTTACTTGAGGAAATCAGGTACAACACTGTAAAAAACTGTTCAGTAGTTTCTTATCAAGTTAAAAATATACCTATCATGTGAGCCAACAATTTTCTTACTCTAGCAATAAAGTTCAACAACTTACGCAAAAGGGCTTTTGCCCAGAGAAGCTTGTTTGATTTGCAGAGTCCAGGGCATTTATTGGAGACTTGCAATACAAGCACATTTGCCTAAGTGACCAGCTTTGATTACCAAAACTACGGACTCCAAAAAGGAAAGCAAGAATTCACCAAAGCTCATGTTTTGCACAATCTAAACAAGTTGGTACAGCATGGTTCCATACCCAACTGTACAAAATCACCTTTCAAATACAAACATGGGGAATACACAAGTCCTAAATTCCTAGGAGTGAGTCAAAGGTAAGCCACACAAGCAGGACCTCCCTGAAAACATTCAAGCATTCAGTAATATTAGGTCTGCTGAATTAACTCTTTCACAAGAATGATGTTCACAGAAACATTACATAGTGATCAAAAACTGGAAATGATCCAAATGATCATTAACAAGCAGATGGATAAGCAAACTGAATGACATATTCACATAAAAGACGATCACATAGCAATAAAAAAAGAAACATGAGACACAGATGAATCTCATAGACCTTGTGCTGAATAAAACAAGCCCAGGCACAAGAGTGCCTTTCTATGA